CCGCCCCCTGTGAGCCTCCATGTCGGCCTCGAAGTGGAGCGTCTCGCTCACCGCATTGGCGACATGGGGGTCCTGCAGAATAGAGTCATTGACCATGATCACTCGGTTCGTGTGATCAGTCGCCCGAGGGTTCCACTCCGCAGCTTCCACCGTCTGCGACGGGGGAGGTGGAGTCTGTCTCTGCTACTACTGTTGAGGTGGAGGAGGTAACCCACGGCCCCTCCTGCTTTGTTGTTGAGCGGAGGGGGCCCTGGATCCCCTGCCTAGGCCGTCGTGCCTTTTCTTGGTCCTCCTCTCCTTCTTGACTTGAGAATCTCGATCGTGCACTTAACCCCGACCAGTGGCCTCGGAAGTGAGGGGTTAGCGTTGGTCCCTGTCGATGGGGCGCTACTGGTTGACCCTCGTCCTCTCCCGGCGGCAAGGGCCTACCTCTGCCTCAGGAATCTCAAGTCTATGCGAGACGTGCGCGACATGGCTATCTCGAAGGCGTCCTCTGTGTCAAGGGACTGAAGGATGTAGAAGTCAGGCCACGAATCTCTCCCTGAAGTCCCCACCTCGGTGTGCGAAGGAACCAAAGCCTCTCTGGCCCCGAACTCCTCAACTTCAAGGGCACCCTCTACTTCCGCCTCAGTAGCCCTATCAGGGTCTTCCTCCAAGTTTTGCTCGGCCTCTTATTGGGCAGTCTGATCGAAGAGTTCAGACCACCGCAAATGGTCGAAAGGCTGGGGGAGCTGTGAGAACTTTTTGTACCCTACTGAGTAGTTCAGAAGAGGGTGAGCGGCCCGATCGAACTTGTCATCGCCAACAAATCTCCCAACAGTGACGAGGTTAGCAAAGTTCACCAAGGACCGAAAGGGAGGAGTGACTTCCCGGGCGGAAACGTCTGCACAAGAAAGAAGGTTATTAACACTTCTAAAAAATTCCAAGGACAAAAATAGTAGACTCGGAGAAGCCGACGTACTTGTCGTTCTCCATTCAAAAGGGCACATCAGACCATTGTACTCGGGACCGGTCCCCCGCTGCCAGGATCCACTGAAGATTAGAAGGTCATTCTTGTATCCTTTGTCTGAGTCAAGGAGGTGAGTTACAAGGTACATGGATGGATCTCTGGCTTTGAGGTAGAAATTCTGTTGAGGCATGACCCTCAAGAGAGAATAGCAAAAAAGGATATCGTTGAGTTCAACGTTTACCCCGAGACGGTTGTTAAGCTCTAAAACCCCCATTATTATTCTAAAGACGTTAAGACAACACTGCCCCGGGAAGAGGTTGAAATGGGCGAGGAACTGGAGGAGGAGAGGAGGCAGGAGGAACCTAATTCCACCCTCTAAATAAGATAAAAACTAAAAAGGAAGGAAAAAGTTTTTCTACGAAGATCCCCAAGGGGTTTCCTGAGGGTTGGTCACACAATGACAACTAGAAACACCTCTAGTTACCGGAGAATAAAAAACAAAAATCCAGAAAGACGAAAAGACGAAAAGAAGGAAGATACAAGGACTCACCAGAACGCGAACGAAGGTTTTTGAAGGGCTTGGAGTGGTTCCTCTCTCCAGAAGGTTCAGAAGCAAGAGGGTGTTTGCTGGTCTAAACTCCGGTGACGACTAACTGGTAGGCGACATGACAAATGGGGTCTCCCGCAAAGTTTTCAGGCGAAAGCTCTCTGAGTCCGAAATGGCAAAAATGTGGAAAAGAGAGAGAGAGTTCGTTTATATAATACTCTTCCCCATCATTAGGCACGAAGCACAAAGAGGCACATTTATTGCGCACGACCTCCTAAGCGATGAAAAATGGCCGGAAGCAATGATGGAGTGGTTGGGACAATTGCAGAACCCTTCGTCTTCTTACGACACGTGTCCTCGGTGTTAGAAGATCGAAGGCTGGGGGCAATTGATGGGACATTTTTAGACACTCCAAGATGATGACACGTGTCCTCGACGTCAATGGATACTCGCCGATCAGATCACGACACGTGCACATCAGTCCATAATTCCCCCTTCCCCTGAGGGACTATTCACAGGGATCAAGGATCCCCAGTATGGCATAGATCGACACGCATCCCTCGGTCAGTTTGGGTACATCGGCCCCTAGCGACGCTGGACCCTCGGCACCGAGATATATCTGTCTACGAAGTATTTCTGCTCCTGCAAGGGCTACTGATTAACGGGTTACTAGTCTAGGTTAGGCTAGACTAGCTATCATGACATCGTTCCACTCAAATGGTGTCAGGCGGCACAAGAAGGCAGAAGGCTCAACCAAATAGGAATGGACACGTGGCATATTGTGTCAGATCAATGACAAAAAGACCAGAATGTCCTTGCTGACACACGACTTGGGAAAACAAGTATTTAATNGTATGTGCTACTCAGGCATAGGATAAACTTCTTTGATGTGCTCATGTGTTCAAAATTCAAAACGAAGATCAAGCTATCACTGACCCCATAACAATTTGGATAGGGGAATATGATTCAACATTTAGATATTTTCCACAAAAATTTAACTTTTTTTCACATATTGCCAACTATTNCTTCCCTTGATGAGATAATATTTAATGCATGAGAGCTCGGAAGTGAAAGGTAATAAATGTCCCAAAGCCTGGGCATTTAATACACCCCCCCGAGAGAAGATCATTAAACGTTCGGCAGACCGAGGAGAAAACATTAGTTCCTCGGGGTCTCGAGCAGTAAAGAATAAGATCATTACTCATAGAAATTGGTGTGCACGCTGCCCACCCCCAATGATTACCTACTAGCTACACTATCAGCAATGATGAGTTTTTAANTATTAGTTGCTCGGGGTCCTGAGCAATAAAGAATACGAACATTCCTCATAGAAATTGGTGTGCACATTGCCCACCTCCAATGATTACTTACTAGCTACGCTGTCAGCAATGATGAATTTTTAAGGTATAAATAGTCCTCACAAACACAGAAAGGGGTACGTAACAAACCCTTTCTCAACCATCATACATTGTTTTCTTTTTCCCCTCTCTCAAAGAACTGACTTGATCGTCGAAGGAGATACGCCAAAAAACACTCCGACGCCCTTCTAACCTATTTTTTTTTATTCTAGGAACATCCCTTAGCCTTCCAGGATCCCTCAGGCAACTCCTAAAAACAGTTCATCACTTCATTGGCCACTTTTGGCCCTCACAACCTGTCCCAAGTAGTAAGATCGATCACTCGATTGACGGACACGTGTTCACCACGGAAGAAATCTATTTTCGTGTTTATATTGTGCTGGATCTTGCACGCACACTTTGTAAAGCCACAATCTAAGAGATTAGGAGCTGAGTTTGAAAATAAAAAAACAAAGGCATAGGACATAATGGTGTGTGTATGTCCTGTGTGTTGTGATGTGCAGTTAGCGGAGAGACAGATAAGCAGAGAGTTGTGCCTTATCTGTTGTGCTGTGTGTGTAGAAGGAAGGGACTGTGACTGAATAAAAGAGCAGTAGTCAAAGAGGGATGAGCACAGACTGAAGGCAGAATGAGCAGCGGAGACAATAACAGCCAGAGAGAGAAAGGAGAGCAGCGTTTGGAGGTATGTTGTTTTGAGCGTTTGTTTTGATTTGGGAATAATGGAACAGAGATCTCATATTGAGCGTGAGAGGAGATTGACTTTCCTTATTTAGATAGATTTCATGTGAGAATTTTTTAGGATGAGTTTGGAAGGCAAGATAGAGGCATGAGATATTAAGAGAGAGAGGCTGAAGTGAGAGAGAAAGGCGTGGGAGAGAGGCCAGAGTTGGGCGGGAAAACAAAAATTCGATACTCACCGTAAACCGTTAGATTAAAATTTTTAAAATAATATGAATTGTCTTTTATGTTGGGATTAGATTGTCCGTTAAATGTGTTTATGTTTTGTCTCAAAACGATCTGAACCTCTCTTTGTCTCTAAATTCAAACTTAACTCTACTTTATTATATAGATGTGGAGTCCATAGATGTATATCAAATCATATTGCTCAATTTATCAAAATGTCCATTATTAAGAGAATAAAATAATAAATTTTTGAATAAAATAGTGTTTTTATCTTTAAATCTAATCTTTCACTTTTCAAACCGCCCATGGGCTTCATTAAATCTTATACTTGACTTTTAATGCATTCATTGTGGACCAGAGTGAGTTGGGATATGAATCCCGAGTTTAAAAATTTTAACTAAACATAAAAATTAAGTAGTCAATTGAATTATTTTTCTTAAACCCCTCTTCCAAACCCTGTAAACAAATAGCCCCCCAATACTTTGGCTAAGATTAAGATATTAAAATGTTTTTCAGATTTTGCATTGAAATTCTTAATTGTTTATTTTAAGTTATAAATTTTTGGTTCAAATCATAAATAAAAAAGTATTGACTTAACTAATCGAATGACCTTCCATCAACACTCTGCTCATGTTCACATTGAAAAGTAAGGGGTGCAACTTGATATATTTTATTTTGTTGGAATTTTTCTCGGGTACTGAAAGATAAGTAAATCAGACGAAATCAAAAGGAACTATAATGTAAACAAATATAGAGTTGCATAAGTATTAGTAATCTATGGTATCTATAATGTAAACAATCCAGAATTTGTAGAGATACCAAGGTATCAGTGAATCAAGGAACATGGTAAATTATTTGTCTTTCCTTTCTTTTATATTCAAAAAATAAAGTTGCTCGTCAACTTGCACGGATTGATTTAATTGTTGAATAATGAGTAGGGTGTAAACTCGTATGTCTTGAGTTTTTTTGGCTATGGAGATTTGGGTTTCACCGATTCACATAATTTGGAATAATTATGTGCATCCGAGATTCATGTTGCAAAGAGTTCAAAGTACCTGTAGAGGGAACGGATAATTTCAAAAAAATGGTAAGATATTGATAAGAGTTCTTCAAAATTCCCTGTTACCGGAAAACCTATAAAAGTCAGAATGAAAAAAAGAAAAAGAAATCCTAGAGGTTGAATTGCTCGTGTGTCCACGGGACAAATTCCATTTGAAATGGATGGTATGAGTTTGACAAATGCTCAACAAGCCACTGCATTAGTGACACATAAACGTAGTTTGTCAAAAAGGCCCGTTTTGAGGTCACCTCCAACCCATGCATCAAGGAAAGGGCATTGTGGTGCAGCAGTTAAGCACACCTTCTTACCCTTGTTGCTATAAGCAGAAAGGTACTTTGCAAGATCATCGCAATGTTGATTCGTATCTCCTTCGATATCAAAGTCTATTCCATCCAAAATAGCGTCTCCAAGAGGGCGAGAAGACGTTGTTCCACCCAAGAAATTATTCCAAAGATAAGTTGCAACTTGTCTGGCATCGTTAGCAGAGGTGAGGTAGTATATCATATTAATTGTATATCATTTTGGTGTATCTTATCATATACATGATTAGGTTGGTTTGTAGTACAAAAGAGTAATGAAGTTTACTAGTTTAACCGATGTCAGCCAAACATATAATCATTAACAACCTTGATTTCTTTCGCTTGCCACGATTTTATGTCCAAGCTTAAACTAGTGCAGCCATTGCTGTACGGATCAGTGTCCGGCGAGGTTGATCATTGGAGTTTGGCCATTGCCAAATGTTGGAAGAAATGCCAAGTTCACAAAATCATAGTTTCCAGTGGCACAAGTCTCTGCCAAGATACCCTCATTCCCATTTTGGTCCCAGTAGATGGCAATTCCACTAGAATCAGAGCCCATTGCCAGTAATAGCAAGAATGAGGCTAAGAATGCTAGTGAAATTACCGGCTCAAATGCCATTGTTAGTAGCTAAATGCTAGACCTGAGCAAAGTATGGCGGTTCTTGTGTACAGTGTACTACTTTGTTTGAGTCATTTGCTTTATGTAGGAGAAAGTTGGGCTTACTCCATGCTAGCCACAAACAATATTTTGCTCTTTTTTTTTTTTTTCTCTGTTCAATGATCAAAATGTCTGAACTAAAAATTAGTTCCGTAACTTAAAAGTTGGTTTGCTCTAATATTTGAATAGAGCTATCATTAATTATTGCCTTTGTCATAGGTTCTCATATTAAGTGGGTCCCAAAACATTGCTAAAGAAATTCTTGTCGAGAATGTACATTATTGCACATCATATGCAAATGGATCCAAAATCAACATTGCTGGACTAACTCGGTGCAAAAATTGGAATGGTCCTAAGAGTTGTATCGGTGAAAAACACGCTCATAAATAATAAGACTAATTTAAATTTATGACGAATGATCAATCTTTGAATGAAATGAAGTAAAAATATTATAGACAAGTTAAACGTCCCCTCCTCTTCAGCTCCCCCTTTCCCCGCCAAAAAAAAACTTTGAAAATTATCTTTAAAATTTTGTTATTTGCTACAAGAGAGATGTTTTGTGTACCTAATTTAGTAACCGTATTTGGTAACATGATAAGTTATAGTCATTGAATTGATAATAAGTCTCAACTAATAGTGGAATTTATTGTCAATTTAATGATAAAAAATAATAAAATTACCAAATAAAGTTACTAAATAAGATTTATGTAACATTTATAAGTGACTATCACAACATTATAAACATATTCAAGGTCATCGTAATTTATATTTTTATTTTTGATAAGACACCATTATAGAAAAGGAGACGATAAAATTCGGACAGCGTCTTTAAGGCCTAATGTGAGAGCAGTGGTCATTAAACTATCGGCTAATCTCATTGTAAATGTTGGCTTTTCCTGAGTGAAAATAAACAATAATTTCTAAAAACAAAACCCAAACATAAACGGCTTTTGAGTTTTGAACATCATAGTTGCTGACCCGACCCGGAGTTGCAGCCTCCAAAGCTAATGTGAGATGGTCATCAATTAAATTGTGTGGGACGAGTTCGCACCGCTCTTAACAGATTTGAATAAAAAAAATTATATTCATATTTTATTTATTTATTAATTTATATGTAATTAATTGTATTATATTTAGTTCATCTCATATATAAATACTAGTTATTATCTGTACTTGAAGATACAGAGTAATAAAAAATAGTAAATAATAAATATATTTGTATTTATTTGTAAAATCAAATCACAATCATAGAAAAGAAATAAATGAATTTAAGTATTGATTTGTAGTGGGGGTGAGAGGTGGTGGTGGTAGGAGACAGTAATGGTTGTAGTGGGTGACAATGATTGTGGTGACGACGACGATGGTGGCTGTAGTGGTGGTGGTGGTGGCAACAACGGTGGCGGCGGTGACAGCGGTGACAGTTGTGGCGATGGTAGAGGTAATGGTGAGACGGTTTCAAACACTATTTTTTTTAAAGTATTTATAAGAAATAATTTCTAAAAATACTCTTAAAAAGTCACTCAAAACGCACCCTAAATGACTTATTTTTCCTATTAAATTTAGAGTATTGATATTAGCCATTAGATTAACTTTAAAATAAAATTTAAAACGATCTCAACGTCGAATAGTAAAAGTTATTTTGTTTATCTTTTAAGATTTAAATTGTAAGTTATTTTATTATATAGATATAAAAGAGTGGTATAATCAAAGTTTTTTTAATTAATTTTACTCATTTAATTTGTTTAATGAGTAATTCTTTTTTCACCTAAAAATTTGACTTAATTTGTTGATATAATGATGTGACTTCAGCAGATTCATTGGATCAACACTAAGTTTTAATGTTTGATGAACTCTACAATTAATTCAAATATCATAGTAAATTAGGTCCCAAAAACATTACGCTTTGTTTAATACTCGTTACGTGTCCATTTAATTTCGTGTCGTTCTAATAATTTTAAGTGAGAATAAAAAATCAGACGGGGACTATAAACAGTTAAACACCATTATACACAAAAAAGAAAGAGACCAAGGAAATAGAATCGGAACCCTAGAAACACAAATCTCTTGGACTAGGTAAACTCAAGCTTCTTCAATCCGTAATTGAACTGTATATAATGTGTAGGTGGGTGTGTGTTTGAATCACATTTCGTTTGATTTCGATTGGTGTAATGTTTTTGAAATGCTCGATTTTTTTAAGGTTTTAGTTTGCGATCTTTTAGCTGTCAGTTTTACATCCACTACGCTACGCATATTTGTTCGGCTTCGCTTTGATTCCTAGGCTCAGGTATCTGAAATGTTTATATGATTACCTTCTAAGAAATATTTATACTGTTTGTTTCAGCAGGACTGGTTTTTTCAACTTTAGGAATTATAGTTGGTTGTATTGTACATGGAAAATGCTATATAACTCAAATAAAACCCAAAAGATATTGCGTTTTTTTCGTTCGAGAAGTCCGTTAGGATGTGATGCTCTGTTTGGTAGAGATTTTGAAAAGTTAGAAGTATGAAAAATAGGAGGGTTATACTTTCTATCCGATGGAAAATAAGAAAGATACACTTTTCTTCCTTTGTGTTTGGTAGGATAGATGAAAAATAAAAATGATTATTTTTTTTTCTTTGTTGACTAAGATTAGGGGTAACAATCGAATCGTGTCGTGTCAGATTCGTGTTGAATCATTACAGGTTTGTGTCGAATATTAGTCAAATTTAATTTAATTCATTTAACTAATTGTGTCATATCGAGTTATGAGTTGCCTGTTTATTTTCGTATCAAGTTCGAGTCGTGTTATCATGTCGAGTCAAAAATTTTCACCCTTAGTTAGAAATTTTTTTTTTTAATTTAAAATTTTTTTTTTATTATTTTTTATTATTTTTAAATTTATTTTTAAAATTTAAAAAAAAAAAAAAA